AAAGTGTTTCTACAAATCATGTCCTGTCAGAGCAGAGATCTGTAACTGATGCTTCATCTGTTTTCTTTCCTCTTTAACACTCTGTCGTCCACATGGACAAACAGAACAGCTGAACAAGAAGATCCAGGTCTTTATCAGATGTTTGACTTGATAAGTTATTCTTTATGTTCACAGGAGCAGCTACAAAGCCGTACTTCAAAATACTTGGTGAAACAAAGGATGGAGTTCAGCTGCAGTGTGAGGTTCAAGGCGTTTTTCCAAAACCCAAAGTTTATTGGCAGGACGGTGATAAAAACCTTGTTCCTGCTGAAGAACCTCAGGTCTCTGAAAGAGGAGGCCGCTACGACATCATCCTCCAAACGACTGTGACCAAGACCGACCACTATCGCTGTGTCTCCACACAGGAGGAGATCCACCATGAGATTTACACTGAGACATTTGTACCTGTTCATGGTGAGTTTCTTTATATTCCTGCTTCTACATCATCCATCATCTACACCACTCAWCTTTTGAGAGTCGCAGGCTGGAGCCAATCCCAGCTGACGTTGGGCGAGAGGCGTGGCTCACCTGTCAGTCAAACACAGAGCTGACATACAGAGACAAACAACCATCAACCGTTCAAACCCACGAGTGATTTAGATCCAGCAGTAAAACACAGCCTCATGTCTTAATGGGAGGAAGGTGGAGGAACCAGAGAGAACCCACTGACACAGGGGGAACAAACTGCTGACCAGTTCACAGGTTTGAACCCAGAACCTTGGGACTGTGAGGAGACCGTTCCAAACCGCTGAACCACCGTGCCGTCACTGAAACATTTAGAACATTTGAACYGTCCATTTCWTTTTCTAAATGTTTCCACACATTGAACAGAAACTCAACAGTGACTAAGTTAACGTGGACGACAACATTCAGACGTTGAGCTCATTCACAAAAAGACGTTATTGAGATCATRGTGTTTACATGAGTTGCTCATAAAATCATTCATTCATATGTTTTACATTTGAACGAGCAGAGTCTGATGATGACGCCATCGTGTCCCACGTTCCTCTGCTAGTTTGAAACCCCCAACCTGAGACAGTTCAACATACGATGCTACAGTTTGGATCATTTTCTGTGTTTTCAGTTTGAATCTTGAAAAAGCTTTTTATTTTTCCATCTTGTTGAACTTAAGACTCAGGTCACGTGTCCTCATCAGCTGGTCACTGTCGKACGTTGATGTCAAGACGCTGTGAAAACTCCAACAGGACGTTAGAACGTGATGAAGACGTGAACATGTCTGATAACGTGACTCAAGTCAGAATACTTCACGTCTTCTTCTAAACTCGACTTTATTCTGAGGAAGATGATCAGAGAACATTGTSGACATGGCAGCGTCTTATTCAGACTCATGTCTTGTTCTGTGACATTTAGAATATCGGTGTCCATGACAACAGTAAGTGATGAGGACGTGTGTGTAAAGGGTCAAACGTCTCAGACTGAGTGGGATCAGTTGAGTCTCTGAGACTAAACTTCATCTACAGAGAGAAGAGGAAGAAACAATGTGTTAGTGACCTGTGTGAAACTGGAGCATCTTCAGAGYCTCTGTTCTCATTCAGCTCGTAGCTGCAGGTTTGAAACATGAAGCATCTGTTGAATGTTTGTAGGAATTGTTGAAGCAGCAGAAGCTGACGAGAGAATCTCTGTGGAATCTGAACGGATGAACTCAAATTCAGGAATCACGACTGTGTCTGTTGATTCACAGCAAAATCAATGATCTGGGACATTTTGCTGAGATCAGACACAGATTCCACGTTGATCTCTGGTGAGT